TCTCTAGGTATCACACTCTTGGATCGTGCTGCAAGACACCACAACGAAGCAGTTGATGAAAGTGTGAAGAACAAAAATCCCCAACATGCTGGGTCACAGTCAGAGCTGCGAAATGTTTCCAAAATATCAGCAGTACTCTACTGCAGCAAAGCACTTCCTCTTTTTGATGTGAATATGCATCGGCCTATCAGGGCTGAAAGAACAGCCCGCTACGGCCTATTTTTGTTCCCCATCTATTCGGTTTCAGGCTGAAAGGAAACTGCTGGTCTGAGCTGACCAGTTTCCTGTAGAAGGTGCATGAATGCAGCTGTGATTGCCCTGTATAAATAACACAGTGACCGGCAAGAGGCTTTCCATTAGGCAGTGAGCAAGAAAGGTCAGGGATTTACTTCTGCATGAACTTAACTTAAACTGAAACTGACACAAAAATGCTTATTTCAGCTTTTTTAAGATTGTCACTCTTAACTGAGACGTGTCACCCTTGAGCTCCGTGACTGTGAGCCATCCTAATGTGATGGTTTAATGGAGTAATGAAAGGACAGCGGTAGAGGTGTACGTGGCACAGAGACGGTCTGAGTAACACACAGGGTGGTAGGCCTGCAGAGATAGCTGCATGGAGATTGAGCCCACTTTCTCAGTTGTTCTTAAATTCACCGTGTCTTGTTAAGCAAGATAGAGGAGAAGAGAAGAAGAAGGGTCACACTGGGGTAAACAGGAAACTGCCACATCAGTGCCGGAGGCCCGGTACGCTTTGAAGGTCTCCACCTACAAGTCACAGAGCCCTTTGGTCTAATTTCAATAGTACCACCCTCCCCTGATTAGCGGAGAGTTCAAGTGCTGTTGAGGAACCCTGAGCCCACACACAGAGGCTACTGTCAGACCACACCCTCAGCTGACAAGCACGTATTTCTTTAAACTGGCCTCAATTCATGTGAGCCACGAGTTCCCCAGCACCTCAAAGATGTGCTTAAGGCCCACAGTCCAAAGGAAAGTTGCATCAAGTGCAACATTATCAAGACAATGTGGATTTAGGAGAGGATCACATTTAGGTTCCTACACACTGTGTGAAGGCTATTTATGTGGAACTACAACATTCAACAAACCATTTCACTGACTGACATGGTTAAACATTCACCTACGGGCCTGAATGTCCAGGATCCCACACAATAACTGACTGATAACAGTAGAGTCTTTAGATGTGGCCATCCAAGACCATAACCTCAGTGTTTTACACATGGACGTAGATTTATTCTCAAAATAAAATTAATTAAAAAGACAGCGCTGAATCTATTTATTCGTTATTCCGATGAGAAAAAGAATGAAGGTAATGAGGCCCAGGTGAGGAGAGGAGATGGAGGAAGTTGGATAGGTTGTCATTAGGCCACACATGGACAGAGGTTTTAGTGGGTTTTTTTTGTTGTTTTTTTGTTTTTTTTGGTCAGCAACACATATGGCAGACTCAGTTCTGGTTATTATCTGTGGTATTGTGTTATGGGACTTAATGGGTAAACCTTTTTCTTCTCACCAGCACCTGCATGTCTTCTCCCGAACTATTTGAGGCAGAGCCTCACCTACCATTACGGACAGAAAAAAAATATATAATCATAAAATAATTTCTTGGTGAGGCAGGCAGTTCTCTTGCCTCATGGCAGGGGGCGCTCGTGATCCCATACATTCTTCTTGTGACTCGGCGGCTGCAGAGGAAGTGACACCGAGCTAGACTAGGTCCAATGTACAGTTAGCAAGTCAAGTGCAGCGATCCATTTATTTTTTTTCCCTCTCGCCCAGTGAAGGAAGATAAGGAGGACTTTTACCAGAAAGTAACGGATATTTTTGTCCAGAAGGACTTTATTTGTAAGTAAAGGTAATAGCAATAAGTTTGTTGTTGTTGTTGTTGTTTTTAAATGAAAGTGCATTTTGTGGGCTACAGCTTGTATGTGTAAAGAATGCAGATATGAAACATAACTCGTAAACTGCTGCCAATCAAATCAAATAAGCTACTCTGTAGAGTGCATATATTTGTAAATCTGATTCTGATGAAGTCAGTGCTTCACCAGCCATGAAGCTCACCACACCTCACTGTTATACATGTACATTTTTATAAACGATGCAAATTCAAAGTCACATAGTTTGAGATCCCCTGGGTGGACGATGCTACATTCACTGTGATATTGATGTGGAACATTAAGGTAAACATAGAAAGAAAGTGGGATGAGCTTGGCCAGAACACAGTGTTTTTACATTGTATTTTATTCTACTCAGAAATAACCTAAAAAATAGTGCAATAATCACTTTAAAATCTAAAGACTTTTGGGCTGAGCTAAGCCTCTGGCTGATAATAGGACCAAGATTTGTTTGTACTTCCTGAGGCGCTGTGCTTGGACAGCATTATTGCCTGACTGAGGTAAAACTAAGAAACATTTGGTTTTCAAAGAAAAAAACAGTTTGACATTTTGGGAAATGCTCATGCATGTTCTTGCTGAGAAGTAGATCAGAAGATTGCTACCAATCCCATGTTGCTTAACAATCTAGCTAGTAAGCAGTTAGCATTGCTTAGCATAAAGACTGGGGACAACAGGGAAAAGCTAGCCTAACTCTGTATTAAAGAAAACCAAAATCCAGTTACAAACACCTCTGAATTTTTTGCTGTTGTTTTACAGGACATTTTTTCTCTTGGCTAAGGGACACTTAGAGTTGTTTCCTTTCACAAACCTGCGCTGGCTGTTTGTATTTCCAGTCTTCATGCTAAATTAAGCCAACTAGCTTTGCTTCATAGTTGGCCACACCTGAGCCTGTAAAACCTGTCAAATAGCACGTTATAGGAAAAAGTCAAGCAATTAATTGCTCTATAAGAGAAAAAAATCCCCAAAATTGATTACACTTGAGTTTATGTATGAACTAGACAATTAAAGTAAAACATATTCATGTGTAGCTTTAGTTAGCTTTCAACAAAGCTAGGTTAGCTGATTCCTCTGTTTCTAGGTTGTATGCTAACGTAAACTAACCACATTTAGGCTGTAGCTTAAGAGTTGTATCAGTCTTTTCCTCTAAATCAATAAAATAAGTTTCAAAATGCCAAGCTATTCATTTAAACCTGCGTGAATCAGATGAATGGTTCAGGGAGAAACTGTGTCAGGTACTTTGCTACTTGAACCTGATGCTGAAAGGTTTGTGGCTGACCTTTCAGGTCTTCATGACAGGACAGGTGCAGTGTGACTGTGAGCACACGTCACACAACCCTGCACTCATTCTGTAAGTGGGCAAAGTTACGTACACAAAGTCAGAGTTCTGCAGAAACTGAGTTGTTGCATCAGTTTCCTGCTGAAAGCTGAATCACTCCACTTCCAGGGCAAAAAATAAAAATAAATCAGCCACCCTTCGTGGTCCATAAAACATGCCAAAATAAAAGAATCATGAGGGGGCACTGGGTATACTTTCATGCTGCTGCAAGAATAGCAGCTGATAATTTGTGGAACTGAAGCAGATAAAGTAAATGTACTGCTACTTCCTTCCATATTGCTGAACAACCCGCACCACTGATGGCAGAAAATGATTAGAGCTGATGCAAGTCGTGAACAATAGCAGACATGTCTGTAGAGAATTTATCCAGTCACTGCTTGTGTGCAAACTCGGTGTAAATGTTGCAATTATTGTGCCATGCAAGCCTGAGAGGAAACAAGACATGTTGTTGCATTGATTCCACCTTATGCAAACATGGGTAAGCACAGTATTAGTAGGTCTACACGCTATACAGTCACAATAAAACACTTGCCAGCACATAGGTTTCAATGCACATGCACATGCACACAGGGGTTGGCCAACCGCTTAATGCAACCACTGGGAACTGCCTTTGAGTCAGTTAAAAAATAAAATAAATTAAGTTTTGAATGTCAAGCTATGTCTGAATATACAAACAATGTATTGTATGTTGGACAACAGTGATTTGTTTCTTTTGAAAATGGTCTAAAAACAGCTCTGGTTACCATAAGTACAACACACGCAACCACCAATGTGCCCACTGAGAAAACACTAAGCAGTCAGTCGCTGACTTATAACATCAATTTCTGCTATTCTTTTGATATATAATCTGAACATATATAATCTAAACATAAACATTATGAATTCATTGGAAAAGAGGAGTCGCAAATTTAAAAAAGTACAATGTCCACTGTTAGTATTACTTTTTGCCTCCATACCATCTCTGGTTTTATGGAAAAAGAGTCAGATGACAACATCAGCTAAATGTCCAAACTGTAATGTTTCTAAAAATGTGAAGTGTGACAGTGTTGCATCCACTCTGGCTGTCAGTGAACGCAGCACGGGCACTGGCTTACCTATCCGAGCTGTCTCAGCCTTGAAGGTGCTGAAGTCCCAGTTGCGAGGTAGTTTCAGAGACATTGTCCTCAACTCATAGCACAGGTCAGTGTTTCAGTTCACAGGCACCTCACCAGAGCACACGCACACACACATACATATAAATACACAATCAAACACACACACACACACAAACTGGAGATATCGCAGATCACACTTCCTTCTTCCTGTGTGTTAATCTTTCTTCTTCTTTTTTTCAGACCTTCACAACGCGTCCCCTCATGCTGTCTTTACTTCCATGTTCATACTTGTTCTGATGGAGTGCTGCACAGATGGCTTCCAGGCTGAATCATTAAAACTAAGGTTCCATGTAGTGGGGGAATCTTCAAGTGACTAATGTTCACTGGGTGTCACAGGAAAAAAAAAAACACCGGCGTCTTCACAAAGGAAATGGTTTTGACTCCTTCAGTGAGCACGTTGCCTCACAGCTCCGGCTGCAGTGAGACTCACACGGCTCAGACAGCCACTTACAAAAGTGTACTTGAAGGCTGAAGCTTAAATGTCTTCTGCTGGTCCATCAATAAAGAAATGAACTATGTTTATAAAGATGGATGCAAGGGAATCAACTCAATTCAAAATGGGGAAGAAGACAAAGAGGAAAGAACTCAGTCACACAGCCAACCACATGATTTTGTATAACTTTAATTTTCTCTGAACCAAGGCAAAGCACATTTCAGCATCAAAGAGTGCAGCTTATTTTTTTCTAGACAACTCAACACAAACCATTGCACAGTTTTATAATTATATACTGAAATTATACAGCTTTGTAGGAGAATCTATAAGCACAAAATAAAATGTCCACAAAGGGGAGCCTACACAGCATGTGGGACAGACACAACTCCCATACATTCCTTATAGAGGGTCCTGGCTGGGCAAGATGCACTACAGCAAAGTGGCACTGTGTTCATTAAAGTGGCACAGATGTGCCTTGGGGGGGAAGAAAGTCAGGTTTCTTTTTTTTTTTTTAATTTACTTAAAGTTCATCCCTTATATTTTGCCTCCTTGTGAGCAAATCTCAACTTCAGGGGTGCTGGAATGTATCAAGCAGAAGGAACAAAGAGTCAAACGTCTCCACATCAGCATTACTGCGGATCGGCCGAGCACAGGAGCTCCAGCTCTCTCTAGTGGCCGTCCGTAACACCAGGCAGAGAAATGGCAGTACAGAGCTGCAGAGCTAAAAACCTCAAACCACCACGGAGGCAGCAAAGATATCTACGACTGCTGAGACACCAGTCCTTGAGTTACTTTCCGGAAACCACTCGATACGGCATCCACAAGTAACAAGCATTTGACTTGCACTGTGACACAGAAGTTGACACATGACAGCTACCGGGGACGAGCCTAGAAAACACCCAACTGCACTAAAGTCACAGCGAGAAACGACAGAGAAAATACTTTTCTGCTATCTCAATACTCTTTCCTATATGGCAATATTAACACTTTAAATATTCCTCTAACCAAAAATACTAAAGAACACTTAACATGTTTCTAAACATCTTCTTAATAAATGTACAATATAGTAACTTGGAAAAGGTTGGATTTGCTTACAGTAAATAAAATAAATACTTTAAGAAAGATAAAATTAAGACCGGTTAGATGTCACACACAAAACTCATGAATGGAACGACATTGACAGACATGTGAATGAAGTGACATTCAAACATGGGAACAACATGTAAAGCCATGCTTGATTTTTACAGTGGTTCTTTTTATGAAAAAATATTGAGGTCAACTTTTAAACATGGATTGCCATAATGAAGCAAAAGCTGATTCTGGGTTACAAAAAAACAGATGCCTTTGCTTAAAAATATAGAAATGTTTAAGGACAGTATCTGATGAGAGGAAATTTAAGGTGGGAAACTCATTCTAAAGAAATTCTCAGTGAAGAAGTAATTAACAGTACGCAGACAACGGCACAACAATAAGTTGTTTTGTATGGTTAGCATGGAGACACTCGGTACTGACCTTCACATCCCTGCTACACTGACTACTGTATGATTGTTCATATTGCTGTTTTGTCCTGTAACTCTTGAGTATAGAAACAGTTCTGCCTGCGTTATCTAGCTTCACTGACAAAGATAAATCCATTCTTTCTCTGATTGGACAGAAACACAACAATAAATAGGCACAAACACGATGCTGACTGGTTGATTTGTAAGTGCGGTGGATGTTTACAGCTGAATCTGTGTCTATGGTGTCTTTTCTTCACAACCATAAAGAACCTTGCAGATTCACCACATTGATATTAATAAGTTGTCTTTTGGAATCTACTGGACATTTCAAATGTCGCTTTCCAACTGTATCATTTTGTGAGTTTATAAGTCATTAATTTAGGAAAAATATAAGTAGATGTCATTAAAACATGGTGGAAAACTCAAACTGAAACAACAAAGCAGAATGTGTTGGCAGTTTAAAGGGAACACTCCTGCAACTTAGTTCCCTAAAGTTGGAAAACTTAGAAGAGTCAGACTAAAAAGGAACTGTCAAAATTGCTGCAGCAGAAGCAGAGATAGCACATGGATACCACACTCCCCAGAATGCATCTCAACAGCATCTTTAATTTAATTGTCCCTCATCACATTTTTCCACTGCAATTTGTCGTCCCTAAGTTACTACAAATCAGGCAAGTGAAGATGTTGAGTATTCCTCTTTATGAGAAATGATATTTATGTATAGAAATCAGTGCAATGCCTCTTCAACTTCTGCCAAGAAAACTACAGACAGAGTGAAATTCATTTTGAAGGCTTGACAAACACAAAGAAACCCAACAGCGAAGAAGCTTCAGCTTATATATTTCATCACCAAATCAAACATACACCTGCCAGTAGCATAAATATCAAAGAATCCTGCTGCAAAACCTCTGGGAATGAACAAGGATATGTACACAGGTGATTGTATTGGCAAAGTCCAACATGAACACATGCAGGAGAATGCTATTGGCCACTTTAACAGGTCAAGTTGACCAGTGACAGTAACATATATTGTGTCTGTGCTGTGAACACGGCAAGGTTACAACACACAGAAGCAGAGAATGGCAGTGCAGAAGCCATCATTGTACCCTGCTGTTACAAACAATCTCAGGCCAACAATGTGACAAGGACGAAGCACAACTCAACAGTAATCGCTGAACACATGTAAAAGCTATTACAGCTCCATGATAGAGATAAAAAAAAAAGATGGAACACAGAACGTAACATACAACGTGACTGTTCACTCTCAGGGAAGCGTTCTCTTTTCTTATTAAACAGCAACCAGGACAGATTGCGGCTGTTATGCTGAAAAGGGTGCTGGTGTCTGTCGCACTGGCCTTCAGAGATATCTTTTGATTCAGAATAAAACACTAAACTTCTCCCTACAACACAAAACAGTTGTCAGGTTTATCGGATTCAAATACTTGAGTGTCATTTAGTTGTTCACTTTATAGTTCGGCACGATCGTATAATGTTAATGATTTGGCCAAGCAGGATGAATGGCAGAGAAAACAAAATGAAACGCAAGAAACAGATGGCAAAGGTGAATTCAGCCTGAATAAAACAGACACAACATTAAGATATAATAGAACATACCAAATATAAAAACCATCTATGTATAAATAGAAACAATCACAACAGAAAATTAAAAAGTGAAATTTGGAGGGGAGGTGCAGCTCAAGTAAGAATACAGTGAGTAACAGGGTTGAGAGCAGTGCATTCAAAAAAAAACAAACAAACAAAAAAAAAAACATACAATAAAATATTAACACACATTATTAGGTATATAGAGGATATCCTGTATTCAGGTAGAAATGTACAGCTGACCAACGTTTTGTTTAACAGTGTTAATAGGTAGAAGCTGACTATAATGGAAAACAGTACAGTAATTCACAAACTCAACCTGATAACACTAGTGTCAGAAACAAGATTCACAGAACACAAACACGCACGACTCTCATACCCAAATGAAATGGAATGACCCAAGGCTGTCGTTTTTTTTGTGTTTTTCTTTTCTTTTTTTTTTTTCTTGGATGTGTTCTCGCTCAAACAAAGCACTGCGAGTCTCCCAGAGCTCCGGGGCCGCTCAGGGCCCCTGGGTGCTGCCCTCCTCTCTGCCTCCCCCCTCCCTTCAGGGCGAGCTGCTGTGGGCGTCTCTAGGCGGCGGCCTCCTCCAGCATCGGCAGCAGGCCCTTCTCTGTCAGGTGAGCCTTCAGCGAGTTGAAGATGTGGAGCTGCTGATCAGCTCGGAGGGCCAGGAGCTGCTGGATCACCTTGCTGGGGTTTGGGCCCCTGAGAGACGGCGGAGAGACAGTCAGACACAAATCTTCTATTCAAAAATGAGCTGAATTGGCCTGAACCCCAACCAGTTTCTGGACAGTTTTTGCTACTGTCACACTTTTACTCACTGAAGGTTCATTTTTCACTGCAATACAAAGTCCTGCATCACCATGGTAACAACACAACCATGGATAGAAGGAGAAAGAACTTAAAAATCTCAGTACAACTTTTTATGCTAAAAATCACTTTTTTAAAAAAGAAAAAATGAAAGTTGAATGTCCTTGATTATGGATTTTACAAAAATGAAAGAACCTGGGATCAACATGCACAACATATTTCTATGTGTTCAAAGGTGTTACCAACACTGGAAGAAATGGTGGATCTACAGACTGTATATATTTTACTCCTTACATTTGTTATTTGATTCCATACTTTTCTGCTGTTCAATAAATAGTCAATGAATTTTTGGCTTGTGACTGTTGGTTGCAACTGAGTCAGTCATGGTTTCTCACAGAGGAGCACAGAATTTTGGCTTTTGGCTTTTGCAAACTGTTTATTTTTGGTAAATATTTGTATGAGCATTGTAGAATAAAGTAGTTTTTTTTATGGAGAATAAAATAGTTTTAATGAAATATAACCATTTTAAGCTTAAAAATTTTAAGACAGAGCAGAATGTCACATGATTAGTTTAAGGACCACTGGAAATGTATAGATGTGATGATTGTTTCCGTTTTACAGTTTCTGGTTTTAATAAATGCTGTCATTTTGACATTTCAAACACAACATGTCTTGCTGCTGGTGGGTATTGGGATGCAGAGGGTTAAAGTCTTCCTCCACCCAGCAGTATTCACCATACATTATTTTTTTCATGGTAGCATGCTACAATATCATCATGTACACATCACATCATGTTCATTTTCTTTTCTTTTTTTTTTTTTTATCATGTACACATCACATCATGTTCATTTTCTTTTCTTTTTTTTTTTTTTTTAATTTCCGATAATGGCTGAAACTTAGTTGTATTGTAGAGCAACACTGACTCACATCGCCAACCTTGCCCTGTGCTTTCACTCTGCCTCATAAACACACTGACAACAGAAAACAGTCCCTCCTCTCCGTCCACACGTGACATTAATACATGATCATGTGCAGGAGGAGGGATTACTGCTGGCTTTTCCCTGCAGAGAAGACAGCTGGTTGAATTCCTGAGCAGGATCAATGGCAAATTCTTGAAGGGAAGACCTCTGCACAAATTTGTCCAAAAGTAACAGAAACTCTGACAGTCTGTGTTGTCAACACAACACTGTCAGTCTCAGAGACCCAGCTCTTCAAATAAGTTTTTAACAACCATGTCAGGAGTGTAGCTTGTAAGGATATCTGCAAGTTAATGTTTGAATACAGCTGGGTTGTTGAGGTAGTGGCCTCTGCTGCTCGTCAATGAATGCCATTAATGTTAACTCTTTACCTTAGACACGGAAAATTTGCTTCATGAGTCCAGATGACTCTAAAAAGCTTGTCCTGACATTGTGGCTACACTCGATGGAAAACATAAGCAGACTGTTCACACAGTGGATGTGCCATGGAACATAACTTTTTACTGACTACACCTGCAGTGTATATAAGGTGTAGAGTGGTTATGGTGGAACAAGACAGAGAGCTTGCATTTTAGGATTGCTGTGTCGTCAGTTCTTTCAGTTTGCGTAATATGGGTGAGTTAACACCCACAGACTACAGTAGAAGCTACTAAGAAACCCCACAGAACAGGTCATTTCCTGTATTCCTGGAGTTTAATTTAAAAAGTATGCTCACACTTTATGACCCACTTATGTGTAAAAATGGCCACACATAGTCAAGTAAAGAATATAAACAGAAGACTGTGCTTTTACATTTGCAGAGCGTGTCTCTGAGACACAAATACACAACATGTACTCGCTGTTCATATGCCTGTTGTAGCCACTTATTGATTGGAGTGGAGGTGTAGTGATGCAGCAGCTGCTCCGTCAACAAACATGACACATTCAGTGCAACCACGGCGCAAGGAGGCACGAAGACCATGTGGACCAGATGTATTTGTTTTTCAGTTATCTGAAGTTAGGCATTGAAGTTGTTTGTCACCAAGTACAAATAAGCTACAGTAGCACTGTACTAGCAACTGCAAATAAAATATGAGCAGCAGAGCATCTTATATTCTGTATTATTTCATAATTAATTTAGAAAAGTGTAGTATTCCTCCATCCAGATGCCCATTTTCTCTTGTTAACAAAAAACTACAACCAGTAAGCATAATTCTAAACTCTTTTGTTTGTTCAAGCATGTTTGTAAGAACGGATTCATCTGATTGTATAGATGATCCTGTCATGATGTAATATAGGAGTAATGCTATCTACCTGAGACAGGTAACTTGTAGCTTCTAGTCTTTTTTGGCATCATTACAGAACACTGGTTCAGCAGCACAAAGTCATGTATTTAGCCGTCATCAACAGTGATCAGAGTTAACTACAGCTGATTAAACATGCCAGCAAGAATTGTCTTTTTGAAGATTAGCTAGAAATGAAAGAATAAGTTTTCTTTCGGAACATATTGCTTCAGCTCTAACCTAAAGTGGGTGCTGCTTATTCAGCTCAACACCTTCCCGTGCACATTTTTAATGTTAGCAACCTTACAAACATGTTGTACAGGCAGAGAACAGTAACTTTAGTTAAACTACAATTACCTGGCAACCTGAAAAGTTGAAAAGCCTGCATGTTGCTGAGAGCATAAGAGTGTCTGTGTGGGCATCAAGGACAAAATCTGACAATAAGCAAAATCACTTTAACACACAAAAATCTCCAGGCATTGTGTTTTTACCTGATGAAACTGGCAATGTAGACATTGACGAATGTGGCCATGAGGTACTGGCAGTCGAACCTGTCCATGATGCCACCGTGACCTGGGATAGTGTTGGCAAAATCCTGACAGGAGAGAAGACAGCACATGAGCTTACACTGTGCTCTGAATGTGGACAACAGACATCAACGGTCATAAAAGAAGTTTGTAAATAATGTATATGTATGGAGCATATTCATAAAATAAATGGTAAGTAATCAAACACAACTCACAGCTAACCCTAACCGCTTTGCTATAAATATGTAAAACTACATAAGGTTGCCTTCCTCTACGACCATGCACAGTGATTTTAACACTTAGATAGCAGCAGCTGACTGAAAATGAACTGGCTCTGCCCATATGCTGACTAGCTCCGGAGGGTTGACGGTCACATCGATACCTTGATCTTGAAAGCTCTCTTGAAGCCGCTGGCAAAGAAGCCGCCAAATGGTCCCACGATGGAGGCAAAGGAGGAGAGAGCAATGCTATGAATCTGGAATGGATATAGACGCACTGTGGTCTGTGGAGACAAGAAGGAAGTGTTACACAACACAGCCACACACTCAGCACAGACCAGCTGTGAACAACATTTAAACATTTTAGCAAAGGCCAACTGTTGCAAAGGTCAAGGCAGCCATATGAAGGGCGAAATTGCCGTCCTCTTTTTGGTTTTGAATTTAGTAGTTTTATCCTACATATATGAGCTGGACTACCAGCGAGGTGCTGATGGGAAAAAAAAGCTTTATGTATGACTGACTGTACAATTATTTAGACATAACAGGTTAAAAAAGAGCAGGTTAACATTTTCCTTTACAACGGATCAATAAAAGTCCATTAATACTTCACACAATGAAAATCTTTGTAAGAAAACCATACAATTTGGAACCAAATATTGTGTTTAAACACTGTATATTGTTTATACCCAATATCAGTATGAGAGGACACTGCAGCAGCCTACAGTCTTACCCATCCGGTGACAGACTCCAGGATGCCAGGCAGGGCGTAGTCCTGCAGCTGAAAAAGCTCTGATGGCTCACAGTCCCTCTCGAAGCTGTTGGAGTCGTTGTTAAACTCCACTGGACACACGAAGTAGTGGTAGCCGGCCATGACGTAGGACAGCTGAGAGTGGAGGGAGATTCTGTAATTCTTCAGTCACCTCACTGTCACTTTGATCTATTTAAGCTTTTTGTGTACTGGGATAAACATATATTGGAACACTGAACTGCTGAGAGTTATCTGCTATTGCTGCTGTGCTCCTGTTGACTGGGAGCTCACAACCACAAATATATTAAAAGCTGCTAATACAGGTGGACAGAGCTGCAGCAAACCTTTAATTGCTAACATATTGTAGATAGCCTCTGGCAAAAGTAACGATATGATGAAACAAAAACAACAAAGAAATAAAAGCACATAGTACCATGATGCCAAACACAATAGTGGCAAAGAGTCCACCGATGAATCCCTCCCATGTCTTCTTAGGTGACAGCTGCAACAGCCGAAATCAAAGAATTAATATGTCACCAAGTACACTATTATAATCCTGATGTGACCTGCTGTGGCATAAACATCAAAACACTCACGAGGAGAACAATCTTTAGATGTTAGGAAATAATTCTCCGTAAAGTTTGCATTTAACGTTTCAGCAGCTACTGAGAATAATTCTAACAACCAACCTTGATGAGTGGAGTTCGGCCGAAGAAGAAACCAAACATGTAGGCCATAATGTCATTACAGATCACACAGGAAATGGGCACGATGAACCTATGTGGACAAAGAAGAGCTTAAATCACAATTGTCTACATTTGCTTAAGTACCTCAATTGGATTATAGTGACACAATCAAGATGAGTTAATTACGAAACAATTAGATTCTACTCCTTGCGTAGACATTATCAGAGAGGAGAAGCCCTGTTTCTGCCTCTTATGTTCAGCTGGACAGTGTCAGAGATTTGCACTTACCAGATCATCCCCTCAAACAGGTTGTGAATGATGAGGTGGGACTGAGTCACTACGATCAGCAGGGTCACATGGGTCCAACCAAACTGTGGAGACATTACAGCAAGCTCAGCCACGTGTCTACACGAGGATATGTTTATATTCAATATAATGACTGACTTGTCACTATGAATATTATTTGAGTCATTGACACCTGATTATATTTTATAATGGGGCAGCAAACTTGTAAAGATACATAATTGGCAGCTATTTCCCGCAGGAAAAAAGTAATTTGAACTAATTTCTTACATTTACTGACTTAATGTCTTGGATTAGGTCAAGAAACGGTCACCTGTGAATCACAAAAAAAGTTACAGAGGATCTCTGTAACAGTAATAAACTACTGACTGGATGAGATTACTGAGGAGCATGTAAGGGAATTACCTACACTATAACAGATGAAATATTTATTGTTTTCCCCCTGATTGGTCTGAATAACTCACTGCAATGTTGCTTTTTCCACTGAGCTGAGTCCTGTCCAACTAACAGACGAATGTCCAGTGACTGGTTTGACATTTTGATAACAGCACAATTCCAATTTAGCTAATTTAAAGTTTTAAAAAGTTGACTGGCATTATTGGGACAAGCAGGTTCATGCAACTTATACTAGCCTATGTTTTCCTACTGTAGCTTCTGGTTTGATGGCAGTTACGCTAAATGGTGAAATGGTTTCGAGCAGTGCACTGGACACAAAACTACATTCTGTCTGAACGGGCCATCATTATTTCCTGGTGATGAAATTATTGCACAGTGATGGCAGGACAAATGCTGGGTGTAACAGCTAAAACATGATCAGAAAATAGCTTGATTAAATCCACAGTGAGACTGGAAATGTGGGGGTAAAAAAGGGGCAAAAATGGTCATCCACCTGGCAACAAAAGACATATTTCCTGTCTTGTGTCTCATTATGACGTAGGGTACGAATAGTGTTCTTTATACATAGAACTGATGTGATGTTTCAGGATAGGTTTGAGGTTAATATACCAAACACAGTTGGAGTGACTGTGCCAGACATTTCTATTAGAGCAATCTTTGGCCCACTTCTCCATTTACTTGAGGGCCTGTATTTTAGCAAGCCTCATCAATTACCCAGTCGTCTCTGGAGGAGGGTTTTCAGGAGGAGGCGGGGTGCCACTTACCATGTAGAACTGGAGGCGGTAGTGTTTCTTCACCAAGCTCAGCACAAACATGCAAAAGCCTGCAACAACAAAAGACAATAACAACTGAAACAGAGACGAGTGGTGCCGGTAAAGAGGAAGAGGTGAATTAAGAATCGAGAATCAGAATCCAGGTCATCTTTGGCCAAAATGATTAAATTTAGCTTGACCTACTTCAAACAAAGCCCAGTTAATTGTGCTGTGAGTAGCTCAGGGTCAAAATGGTTTCTCATGGCTGAGGTGAGGTGAGGTATGGGCAGTGTAAAGGAAAGAATATCTCTGACAGAAAAAGAGACATCCTGAAAGGCCCAGCTTCCTGGACTCCTAAACTGACACTTAAGCTTTTGCAGGTTAGATGTAACATGCATTACATGACAAAACTCCACAGAACTGATCGTTTCCTGTCACTTCAAGCTATGACAGCATTAGCTTCCAAACCTTTCTGTTCACAGACATGTAAAAAAGCTGAGCCAATCAGTTTCACCTTGTATCTTGTAAGCAAGAGGTAAAAACAGACGGGTGCTTCCTTCCTCCCCACATCCTGTTTGGCATCAGCCAGAAGCTGCAGTAGAACTGTATCACTAACTGACAACCTGCAGCACAGGATGTGGGGCTTCTGCGGCTCACACAAGGACTGAAATAGCCAACTCTGAACAAAAGAACATACACAACTTGAGATCACTGACACTAATTACTGACTGGACCTATTTTTATTTCCCAGTTGAAGCTTTAAAAAAATCGATCACTAACATCTGCTGAGAGAAAATCCTGATGCAATCTCTTCTAATTAGATCAGCTGAATAACTGGACGGCATCTCGCCTGGGTGTAACAGCAATTCAGTCAACTGTAATTTAATTCAATACGCTTTATGTACATGAATATCAGGTTAACAGTATTGCCGAAGCATCAAGGACGGTGTAGTCTCATGGGATACAAGATGCAGATGAAAGCCTGCCACTGGCTGCTCATTGAAGGCGTCTTTTTCCTTCTCTTCTACTATCTGTGTGCTACCGTGTTCGTCACTACAGGAAACAACAACCTCCGGGCTAACAACACGCACACTCAAAATTTCAACTTTTGAAGAGGATTTGAATCGCGCAGGAAGGCAATTTGTACTGCGATAGTTCAACTGTAGTGCTGAGTCTCTTCTTACCACACTAGCAGTGTTTCTATTGAACTGTCAAGTGAATTTGAAGAGAATGTTTGAAATGCTGGAAAAACTTAATTTGACTAAATTTGTCAGATGCTGCCATTTCAATTCACTTTTTGTGATGCAATAATTCAGAAATATGCATAAAAATACATAACAGAAACACAGCTATTGTTATAAGTCTAATGGAGGAACTTTAACAGACCAAATGGAGTGGATTTCAAGGAATCTTCACACTAAGACATGATGATTTTCCCACATTAGGTAGACAGATTTAGAACAAAAATGAAGTCTTTCATAGAAGCCTCCTTCAAATGAAAGCCTGTTATCTTGTGCACTAGTTCATATTTGAGCAAAAGGTGCTACTCAAGTCACTACTAAATAACTTGAATGAATAAATGTTTTTGTGGCTCTTGGTGTTACAATGTGGCACATAAAAAAAATCCAAACATATCTGTGAAAACGCAGCATTCATTGTTACACAGATTATCACACCAATATGAAGACAGACTTTTATGTTCAGTTGGACTCTTGTGTTTGTACCTGTGAGGTAGAGGACAAAAGAGATGAAGCGGTGGTATTTGCTGAGGATGCGAAGCGGCTCCTCTCTTTGCACCAGTGTGAAGAAATAATCTGTCACAGTCTCGCCATAGAAGAAGTAGTTAACACACAGCAGGAAGTACCTGTAGGGCAGAGGGTTGGAGCAAATGTACACATCTCACAGTGTTGTGACGGCAGCTAATCACATTCTGAATTCAACATGCCTGCAGCAAAACCAACACGGTTGAGACATTCAGGCCATCATGTGAATACACTTAGCCGACTTCCCCCCATGAAAGACAGCAGACAGCAAAAGGCTTTGTTCTTCCAAACTAAAAGCTTTATCAGGTTTTCCAGGCTCATGGCATGGTGGACATCAGGGCTTTGCTATCTAGCACACCGCACTGTACACCACTACTGCTAAAATCAAACATCACTGATGATTCACACTATTTCTGCTGATTGATTTATTAATCTAAGAGGTACTAAAGATTTAAAGACAGGCCAGAAAACAAACCTCAGGACGTCTGCAACAGAATAAAACATGAGACAACATAATAAGGAAGAAGCCAACATGGAGAATGGCTATGTTTATGACACCTCTGTAAAATGTGCAACTTCATCTGTCTGTTGGTTTCCTCACCAGCTCAACGTCCTGAACCAGGGCAGGTGGTAGGAGTGGTACACACTGTAGCCAATGGTGATGATTTCGTGGAAGCACTTGATCTGAACACAGAGGACCTGCACAGAGAAGCACTGTGTTAGCAGGGGAAGAAAAATCTAGAGCACAACTCAGTGTGTGTGTCCTCCAGCACAGTGTCCTACTGACACAAAATGGCTGATAGGCCTATTTTCAGGGAATTCCCAGATGAGTAGAGCAGCGATCCTACATGTTATTAGAGAGCCTGGATCCCCATTAATCCATGAGATTAGGTTTTTCCTTTGTGTGTCAATGTTACACTGAACATACTGCATAGAGTATCGTGAACTCACTGAGAAAATGAATTGTGCTGCACCTTAACCCTCTGAACCCCAGGAAGTGCCTGGCTGTTTTTGGTTCCTTTCACATCTCTTGTCATTGTAGGCTCATTTTTCACTGCAATACAAAGTCCTGCACCTCCATGGAAACAGCATAACAATGACTAGAAGTAGAGAACTCAAAAATTGCTTGTGCAGTGTAACAGATATGAAAACAAATATATACAACATTTCCTAAGTGCCCACAGATGCTAACTCGTGTTTTTCCCACTACTCAGCACATCATCAAATATGTCACCATGATGACAACAACTGTTTTTGAGTCATTCTACATATAATTCGTTGATGAAGTATGCATACTTTCCTCTTAATCTCTCGTTATCTCCTCTCTGCTCTGTGTAAACACAGCCTACACTTCATTGAGAAAGTCCCGGTGTAAATACCTTTTTTGGGCGTATTTTTAAATGACACACTTACAGTAAAATGATTTTGATAAAATCATGATTTTAAGCTTAGATTTCATTGTTTTCCTAGGAGAAACAAAACTTACACATTCAAGAACTGTAATAAAGTTTAAAATCTGATCATTCTTTCTGTTTCTACCGTTTCCAGCTCTGAAAAGTTGTGAGAATTTCTGATAAATTTGTTTGTTTTTCAAAAGCACTGGCAGGTTTTAGGGAGGATTAAAATACATAAATATGTTAAAATAGAAAACAGCTCAGACTGTTAATTTCCCATTTTCTGTTTCCGGTAAACTTTAGAGCTTCTGTACAGTACCATTACTGTTGCTTGTACTTACTATCATCATAAGCACCATGGGGCCCAAGTAGATGATGAAGAAGAAGAAGGAGATCATGGCTAATGTGAGGATGCCTCGTACCCACCAGTTCTTCCATCTGAACAAAACACATAAACACTTCTGTTAGCCAAAAGATCAGTGAAATACAGAGGAGGTCAAACAGAGACAAACAGAGAAAAACAGAGACAAACATTTGAATGAAATAATGGATTGGCAAAAACAAATAAATAATAGTGATAAGAATAAATTAAATAAGTTAATAGGCGGCCAGGTGTAGAATACATCAGATCTGTTATTTGCATCCTATATATGTGGATACCTCTGTGATTCTTGATGGATATTGTGTAGACTTTCTTTTCTGCGTTACTGTGAATGTGTTTTCCATAACTGCAGCATCCGAAACAATAGTGTAATCATACCCATACACACAAATCAAATTCGATATCTGCCATTAATACACATCCTACAGTTCAGTGATTCATCTGTTGGTCAAAGGAAACTATGTGTGAGGAGGAATTCCTTTGTCTGACTCATGACACCTCCACATGTGTAGCAGAGCTGACATGTAGTAAAGTCAAAACATGGCCCTCTGGTTTAGGTTAGCAGGTTAGGATACACTACACTTACATTTTTTCTCTTAGAAAATGCACATTTTAAGATATGCTTATACTGTTTCTACTTATGTTTTTAGGTTTACAACATATTTTTCGATCCCCCAACCCCTACGACCCTAGCGATGATTAAGCGGTGTATAGATAATGGATAGAGGAATGGATTTTTCTGCTTAAGTTTATCTATATATTTTGTAATGTCAATACTTCCAAGACTTTGAATGGAAGCAACTGTAACATCAGTAATTTCCCATTGGAGATCAATAAAGTACTTCTGATACTGATGGAAATAGAGCATGTAGTCCTACCTCAGAACACAGACTGCTTTCTTAGATACTGGAGGTCTATAAATATTACTGAAAATGTTCTCCAGGATCAGAAGACTCATCTTTACAGGCGTACTGTATTGTTGCATACAAACCTCCAACACTTAGCATACCTTGAGGAGAGTCCTGAAAGAGCCTTGTTTAGAACCTCAGGGGTGTCATCAGGGGGAACTGGCACCTCTGGGACCCCTGAATCCACCTTGGACTCAGTGTCTGACACCCCATCTTTTTCCACTTTCAGCTCACTGTCTGAACCCTGACAAACACACAGACAGAGGAGATTTAAGGCACTGACATCCAGCAGAGATATAGTTCTGTAGCAGAAGCAGAACAAGCGTAACCAGAAACACAAGAAACATAAGTCATTATTGGATTTTTTTGGTAGTTTCATCTTAGATCCCGGTTGAATGTAGTACTATTTCCCTGCTCTTTCTGAGCAATCCAACAGCATGACACATGCCTGTGCTTACGTATTTCCAGGAGCACAGAGCGGCTGAAGGAATGTAAATGATGTCACCTAGTAAGCAGTCAAACTATAAGCAAATAGTATTTACATGACGACCGGCCTCAAAGCGATATCACATGATGTGGTATCTGGGTTAGATGGCTCAAGGTGTCAGTCGGCCTTTACAGCTCAAACACACAACTCATCTTGCACAATTTCCCCCAGTGCTGTATTGCAAAAACAGCTAAAAAAAAAACATCAGCTGCTCTGGCTGAGAAATTTCCTCTACATACATTTTCATTGTCTTACTTCGGTTAATTTGAAGCAAACTGTAGTCTAAACTTTCTGAGCTGAGTACAGTAACTTTAATCATGACACTTTTAATTCAAACAGTGTCACTAGAAATGTAGAGATAGCGACTAATGCAGAAAATAGGAGCAACCCAGGCATATGCTGTCTTTAAGCACTTTAATGCACTATTGCTTGGAGAAGCTTTCTTATCATAAACTACAAATCTTACACTATAAGCACTTCATCAAAGTACTTCTGTCTGGTTTTGCTAGGTCCTCAATCGGGCCGCATTCATTAGCTTTATACTGACACTGCAAAAATGCAGTCGTTTTTAAACCTATTAAATGTTAAAACACTCAACAAAAAAAACAACATAATACATGACTGTTTGAATTATACAGTTTTTTTCTACTAAAATAAACAAATTACACTAGTTGGTACTCAAAATTTTACCAAAAATGCAACCAAATTAACCTAAACTAACAATAGATGCTATTTAATAAAAAAACAAATCCTACCATTTTACAGTAAAATAGCTTTTCATTACAAAACTGCTTTATAAAGAACCAAACTGACAGGACTTATGGGCTCTGTAAACCTACACAGGTGTTTCTTAATGCTGCCTTTTCCTCTGGTTGAAGATGTGTGGTGGCTACACTGGCTTTCTGGCTGACTGGGTCGCCACGCTCTCTCTGTTATTAAAGTGCTAAAGTAATGCCCCCTCAAAGACCCCCTCCAATGAAAATCAAGTTTTGTACCCTGGTAACATGTCCATATGTTTTTTTTTTTTACATGCTGGAGAACACATTATGAGCCAAATAGCTGAGCATTTGCACCTTAAAAAGGCAGTGTACTGATGATAGTCTATAAAAATAAAAAAAAAGATTCAACCAGCCAGGGTTTCATAGGTAACTAAACCAAGAACCAATTTTGTGGGACTTTGGTAGAACTTATTGTATCATTACTGTTCTTCAGAATCAGCTTCTGGTTTGAACATGTAGATGAGCTGGTGTGCTTCAGCTGCAGTGAGTATGGAGGAATGAGGAGTGGACTTCATAGATCTGCACATTCTAGATGAAGCTATGCTATAGAGTTACATCTAAGGAGTTTTAGGATGTTATTTGAAAAAATAAATAAATAAAATTGCACATATATATATATATATATCTTTAATACATTTAGAATAGTGTAGACTGTGTAAATGAGAATTAGTGAGATGTTACCTGACCATTTACTAAATCCTGCCTCCATTTATTGCTGCTGCTACACCTGTACAGCTTTCCATTCTCACAAAGGACAGTCTTGGCTTGATAGTTGAGGTTCTGGGCTATTAATCAGGTCGGGGATTCAAGCCCCAGCACTGCCAAACAGCCACTGTTGGAACACTAAGAATGCCCCTAACCCTGTCTGTCCCAGGGGCATCTTATCATGGCTGAGCCTAACTGGGGTAAAGACAATTTCATGGTGCTTTAGTGCATTCGTCACAAATAAAGGGCGTTGATCCTGAATATATATTTTCTTATATAACCTGTAAAACTAAATAATGATGTAGTTTGCCAAAAAGTAATAAGCTCCTTTGCACTGGTAGTGAGGCTCGGCTACTGCTGTAAGTGGTAAGTTCTAACATTTGTAGCCTAAAATAGAAGAACACAATAATTTTCAATATATTTTTGGAATAAGGTGCAGTCTGTAAATATCCTAAATAACTGCAAACACCTGCGACCCATGGATGAGTGCTTCCTTAAAGCCTGATGAGTCACTTAATTCAGAATACATATATGTTCTGGTTAGAGTACTTGGTATGTATACAGACAAACACTGAGTTAAGGCTGAACAAACTGCATCAGATTCATCACATCAGAGCTGGACAAACTGTATTAGGCAAACAGGAGCAGGGCTGCCTCTGCAGGGTTGTATGTGGGAGGCTAAACGCTGCGCCAAATCATCTCCATCCATATTGTTGATTTCTCAGAACCATCTGTTCGCTGACGGAAGGCTGCTTAAAACACACTGATCTCTGCCTCTCCATGGTAACAATAGTGAAAAGGATGGCTGTCTTCAGACGGTGGCTGCTACATGCTGCTACTGCTCCGCTGAGGTTTCTTCAGGTCAGCTCGTCCTTTCACTTTTTACCCCCCACTGACCCCTCTGCTGCTGGTGACCAAATTAGGCTCGGACTCTGTCCCCTCCATCTATGCAGCAGATGGTCGACTTGCTGTTCTGTGACGCCCACTCAGTCTCACACTTTGGCTTTATAACTACAGCTGGATATTTTCTACATTAATAACATTGCTTTGTTGCTTTCTGCCTCAACGGCAGGCCTTTTCATATGTGCTGTAACTGTACATTGCATATTTTGTGTTCCATTCCAAACAGGTATGTTCACAATGTTGACAGCAAACATGTTATTGCTATTTGAGGACTTTATGTCCCTTCCTTAACTAGACCCTCTTAAAATGTAATGGATTAGTTTTAAGTAACAATATATCATAATTTAAACAGCAGTATATTTGGTAGTTTCTAGTTATAATTAGATGTCTTAAAGATCCCTTTCACATTAAAATGACACTTCTTACATTGTGATGACATGTTACCAGACACCAAATTATGCAGTTGCAACATAAAGCGTCTTGTTTTATCATTTCGGCCAAAATCAACAGATTCCTATTAAAAAATATAATATTGCTCCATAGGGGTGATGACACTGTGTCATCATTATATATTTTGAAGGTTCAGTTACTGCTAACCAGCTACCAGCAGCCTCTTTCATTCTATGCTTCCCTACGTGCAGGCCAAGTCACTGTTATGTCCTTGATGCCACTCAGCTGCTTCTCCAGTGAGTCTCTTATCCTGTGGTCAGACTCCAGTATAACAGTCTTAGACTGCAGCTGGTGACAGTAGTCCATGTTCTGCTCAGCACTGTGAGCCGGAGGGCCGCTCCAGCCAGAACCAAACTGGTTCATGTGCTGCTACACCAAGTCTGCCTGTGATCGGACAGCCAACTACATCTGCTAGCTGAGATCCAAGAGAGTGGATCTGGAGTCTTTCCACTGGATGAAAGCTTCACTAGAGTTGCAGCTCAGTGTCATGGAGGAGCACAACAGCAACCTAGCAGCTTATTCTGTAAACGGAAGGTCAATAAAGAATAGTGGAGAGGGGACTAACATCCTGAAAGAAGCATTAGAGTGGTGGACATATAAATCACAGCACCTAGTCAGAAGTTTCACAGTTAAATCTGAGCAGAAAGAGGATGCAGAGCTTTTAGAGTCTGAGTTTAATGAATAGGCTCTGTATCCAGGCAACCATATGTACTTGGGGTCAACAGATTATTGGTTTGGCTGATTCGCAGATCTTATATTCATCTTTTTTTTTTAAAACCGACTTCCAATTAAAGGAATAATTTTAAAATGCACTACTCTGACTCTGATGCGGCCTCCTCTCTGTCTGCAGTTACCATTCTGTGCTCTCAAGCAGTGTCCCGTCCACAGCCCCATCTGATTGGTTAGACATCATGAATAATAGCCTGTCAACGCTGAGGGACTGTTGGAGTTTCTGTCATTCTCAGTTTTGACACCAAGATTTTATATGTAGTTACTAGTCTTCTTGATTACTAACAATTGGCACCAATTTCAGCCCTGAAAAAAACATATTGGTTGACCTCTAACATGCACAACTGATCATGTGTGCATGACAACACGAAAATCTGAAGGAATATTATTCAGATGGTGGACTGCGATAGATTGTCGTATAATCTTTTAGCCGGATCACCCACTACTGCTGCTGATGTTGCTATATTGTAAAGAAGAAAAGAAAAAAAAAAGGTTCCCATTAGAATAAAGAATTAAAATCGCCTGCCACCCGACTGAGCTGGTTTTTTAAAGTCTGCATGTTGAGGTTGAGGATCACACTTTAGCTGCTGTAAGATTCAGTGTTTCTCCACCAGTGTCCCAAAGCGAAGCAGTGATTCCCAGAGTGGTGACGCCGTCTCTAAGCATTAACTCAGCCAAGCAAAACTGTGTATTTCCCAAGATCGGTAAAAATGTCATTAGCTTTCTTTCAAATTATATGTCAAAGCCCTGTGAAATAGACCCTATTCCTCCGTCACATAGCTGTCAAACCCCACTAGCTGGACACAGAGGCACGCATAAGAACACACATAGACACACACACGGGCCGAATCTCCGTCTGCTGGTTTCTATGGAGACAATATCCGTCATTCAGGATGCTTGAGTTAAAAATAGGCGCTCCTTTCACACAAACACTCCTCCCCTTTCATGTTGTCTTGTACAGGCAGCAGCGCCTCTGTATTTTTTCTTTTTTTTGTTCTTTCTTTTTTTTTAAAATGTCCGATTCATTAGTGCAATCCGCATGTTCAAGCTGTTAAAGGCCATTTTTTTACTGGGATTTTACATCCTTTAGATCCAGTGAAGTGTGATTCCTTCACTGTGATGTTTGTGATCCAGGTTTTCAGCTGCGTTCGTGCTGTGAGTTCATCAAACACAAATATCTGGGAGCAACTGTTTGGAAATGTTTGGAATAGCCAAAGATCACACGTGTGTTTAGACGGTCTACATGGTTTAGTGTGAGTCCATTGACATCCCCTGAGAGAAAGCTATTTGTCTTTAAATAGAAAAGTACAAAGCCGGACGATGCGTAAAAGATAAAGTTTGAGGCATATGTAATGGTTATGTAGTTCTATCAAAGACTCATTCATACAGTAGTAAACTTTCACTCAAAACAACACAAAAAGTAACTCTTGAAAACGAACGCCATTCCATAAACTGATGTCTTTAAAGCTGTTTTATATCCACCTTTTATTTAGTATGATCACTTTGTCACAAAAATTGGATCCACTAGTAACTTTCTGCAGCAATAAATTTCATTTTTCAGATGACTGTGTGACATTGTGCATGGCCTTTACTCACCTCAAAAACGTGAAAATTAGCACGCATTTCTACAATACCTTATAAGGTGCTTGCTACTGTTCACACCTAAAGTTCTTTTAAACCACGATGTTTAAACCAGGACAAGATTTTGCATTAAACTGCTATCAATCCTACATGTAAATTATTCAGTCGTGACATTAGGGGTGCAATGAATAATCTATGTAGTCAGTGTATGTCAGCTAAGACTGAAGATCAAACTAGTTGCCAATACATTTAACTGTGGGTTTGTTGGAGACATCACCACGTGTGTTCGTGCTGTCTTGGAATGTTCTAACATTAAAATGTGTCGCTACTAGATGTGAGTGGTGCGAGTATAAACGGTTTACAGCACCTAAGGTCTGCCACCTGCACTGGATTATATCAAAAACACATTCTCACGGTCTGGGGACATGCGCTGCAAGCAGACCAGTTTTACTTCTGGTCTCATTACAGGAGAACTGAGGTATCAATGACAGACCAAAATAATAATGTTGGTCTTTAGTTGTATTGTAAGGAAGCTTGGTTTTGAAAATTACAGAGTTTCAGCAGCCGTTAATGTCTGTGAAAGCACACACTGTAACTTCTCTCTTGTCCAGAGGCAGCTGACCTGTTAAACTGCTGTTAATAAGAAGCATCTGACATCCAGTTACTTTATGTGTCTGTCAGTAACGTTGTCTGATCCTGAGGGGAAAAAAAGATTTCTGAACTAAACCAAATGAAAACTAGACACAAAGTGGAAACAAAGCAGCTGAGATGAACTACAAACACGCAGGCACCAGCTAACTGTTGTGAGAACATTAATCGAACACGAATGCAACACGGCTGATGAGGATATAACGTCACTTTATGTCAGATATCCCTTCATGTTTCTGTCAGAAGGAATGAGTCAGTTCCTGGATTAATAACAGCACTCCATCAACCTTCATCATCCTCTACATGTTCGCTAAATAAATATATCACTGTACTAATGCTCTGTGTTTAAACACAAACAGTGAAGAGGATTTTAGTGAATAAACAAGGAGATCATTCATTGCATGAGGTTCTGCTCTGTAGTGGCGAGAACAGCTGTCTGGTGATACTGACACTAAATGAGCAGGACTGACAGAGAGAGCAGTTCCATTCAAACAGTCACAGTTTGGAGACGATAACGTTAACAGGATTTACTGAGGAGACGACCTGTAACCATGGTAATCATACATAAAGATGGCGACAGCTGTAGCCTAACAATGCTTAGAAGTTATACAAACGAAAAACACAGTAGTTCAACTAAAATGTCACTGATTGAAACTAGACATATGTTTATCTAAAGACTAAAACAGTATCAGATGGCAAATCTGACACTGATTCACATTACTGACAAAAATAACACAAATAACACAAAGGCACGCAACAGGCATCTTCACCACATCTATAGTCGGTAAGCACAGACCTACAACGACCTTAAGCTAAGTTTAAAAGCTGATTTCTGAATAAAGGCCATCAATGCAAAATCTAAATGGTTGATTATTTACTTCAATGATAGATCACTATTAAAATTTTGAGACAGCGCTCTACTCAACACATTCAGGTGACTGCATTTTGAGCTTTATTTGGAAAACTACTGTCAAATAAAAGTATTCCTTTTGTAATCTCTATTGATAGATAATACAAATGTAATCAACCAAATTGTTGCGCATATAAATAAAGACATTTAAAAATAAAGTTGTCAGAGTCAAATTCTTTTCACTGACAGTCATATAAATCAGCATTAAAAACGGTCGTGACAGTACCTACATAGCACAATACCTAACACTGATGATTACAAGTAAGTGACTGATTGCATAACCTGACAGGCAAACTGACAAAGTTGGCTGATCTGGAACACATCACGACCAAGAAATCAATCAAATAACTTTGAGGGATTCCCTGCTAAACTGACTTGCCCCATGTGGTTTGATGTCAGGAGCTAATGGCTCCACTACTCTCCCATCTGCTTTAATGTGTTCTCCAGTTCTCTGTAATCATCTCGTCCTACTTAGATGCCACATCCATCACACTCACCACGCCCCTTCCTGGGCTCACACTATTCCCACTTACACACCTTTTAACACCCATATTGACAACACAGAAGACGCATTTACGTCCCTGCAGTTTGACTCCAACTGGATGTTGATCCTAACATCTGGCTACACAGCAGCAGCAGCAGTTGTTGTCATTATCATTACAGCAGTGAGAGCAGCCGAGCTAATGCTGCTACACTGACAGCGACGGTGCAGGCTAACAGTAAACAAGCTAAAGACAACAGCTAACTTTAGCTAACACACACACATTTAACAGGAAAAACATGTCCTCACAAGTTATTACATGTAGAGGTTCACCTGAGGCTTTTCAACGCTTATGAAGCCCCAGTGAAAGGTTGAATGGTGCTAGCTGGAAGACGTCCCACCAGAACCATGTCTAATATTGCACAATTTACAGATGCATTGCTTAACATCGAACAAAAACGCCAGGACAAATATTGTTCTTGGTTTTTGTTACACGAGAACAGCTTTTCTATACATCGGCATATGTAAGATAAGGATAACAGAACTCATTTCGATGCCATTTTAACTTTTGCATTTGGTTCACTGTTGTTTTCGCAACAAACACGCACGCAGGAAGCCCGTAAGTCGCTTCAGCCAATCAAGTCTAAAATAGGAGTAGCTTGGCGGATGATTTGTATGGCGTGTTTCGGTGGTTTAGAAGAGCTTTTAAATTACAGCCGTTACTCCTTAAAGTATGCGACCGTGCCCCGAAAAACAACATTACATCATTTATTGATTCTGGCGTGACTTTTCTCTTGCCACACAATCCACACGATAACACATTATGACTATGAAACGGTTAGCTGCTAGCTAGCGTTAGCCGCGGCTGTAAATGGCAGGACCGAGTCGTGGCTAACGTTACCTTGTCCTCTGACGGCTGCTGCTGGAGCGGATCGGTGTCTCGGGCTCCACGGTGCCTAAGCTCCGTCATCTTAGCGGATCGCAGCCCAACGACAACAGCGAAGGTCCTGTGGCTCCGACACACAAACTCGTTTTTTGGACTGACAGATCTTCTGCTGAGCTCCCAGCTAGATTTTTACCAGAAACACTTCTCTGTCGAAGAACCCGATCGATAACAAAGTTGCAGCAATAACACATAAACACAACTTGTGGTTTTCAAAATAAAAGTCTCTTTGAGTGGCTACGGTCGTCCTCAAATTTATCCATACCCTTCCATAAAGAAAAGGTAAAAATAGTCACTCAAATAACTAGAAACTGAAAAAAAGCAACAAGATATATATATATTTTTATTTATTTATTTATTTTTTAAAAAAACGCTAAATTCTAATTTAATGAAATAAGACATTGCTTTTGAATTGTGCTTGAAAAGAATAACTTAAAAAAAAAAATTCTGTTGAACCACAATTTAAAAGCAATGTCGTGATTTTTATTACATTTTTATTTATCATTGCTTCTGTCAGTTTCAACTTATTTCAATGACAGCTGTTTTTTTTCCCTTCCTTAATGGGATGGTATGAATACATTTGAGGACAACTGTACAACCAACACAATGCTGCCAGACTCCAAATCTAAAATAACCTTATTTTCGATTTTATTTTGTAACTTTTAG